AAATGGGGAGACCTCCCATATTCATGGTTAGGGAGGCTTAGTATAGTAACATGTCAATTCTTTGCAAACTGATACATGGGTTCAACACAATTCCTATCAAAATCTCATGAGGATTTTTTCTATATACAGACAAGATAACTCTAAAATTTATAGGGAAAGACATAGAAATTAGTATAGCTAAAACAATACTGAAAAGGAAGAAGTGAAAAGATCAATTTACCTAATTCCAAGACTTATTATTTGGCTATTCTCAAACTCGTTTTAATAGGTTTTATACATTTTTTTCTCTACCTCATGAACATATTACTAGTGGAGGACTGGTCTGATACAACCTAGTCTGCAACAGTTGGCAGTTTTCTTTGGTTGATACCCAAAATACTCTTCTCTTACCTAATTCTGTATTTTCTTTTCCCTCATGCACCATTCCACTTACTGTTCAGTGTAATTTTCCTCACAATTATACTGTTGAATCTCACCTCCCAAAACCCTTATACAAAGCCTGGAACATAAGCAATTCTAAATATTTGTTGAATGAATGAGCAAACCCAATGGAACCCTCTCTCATTCCTTTTACTTTATTCACCTGAAAATATACATACCCCTTATCTTCAATCTCTTTACCATCTGTCATAACTGAAATCCCACTCTCCATTCAATGACCTCGTTACCTTGCATGCATTTAAGGGATATTTCCAACATATTTCCCACATTAATTGGGAAAACTGCTAGTTCACCAAAGATGGCTTTTAAATGATTGCATTTTCACTTTTACTTCCATTAAGTTTCATGTTGCTCAGCTGTCACCTTCTATTTTTACTTATCTTTGACATCTAACAACTTGATGATAGCGAACAAATACACATTAAAGCTGTGTGATGTAGCTGTTCACCAAACCCATTTCCCTTTCCTCTGGAATCGTGTAGCTGGACTATTGTCCCAGCCTCCCTTACAATTAAATGTGACCCTGTAAGTTCTGGCCAATGGAGTTCCAAAGATGCGATGTTATTTCCAAGCCTAGCTCCATAAATGCTCCACTCTTTCTCTTCCTCCATCTTTCAGATGGATGTTGATGTCCATGGTAACACTGAAAGTTACGTGTTGAAAATGGCGGGGCCTCCATCATCCAGTGTCTCCGAATGACTGTGTGGAGCAGAGCCCCTTGCTGCTGATTGGATTTTAAGTGAACTATATGTTGTGTATAGCCACTGAGATTTAAGATTTACATGTTACTACCCTTAGAATGACCTTTAGTAGTGCACGTGGTACATCTCTGTATCAATAAAGTCTGCTATAACTTTAGAACTTTTAATATTTAAAGACCCAGAAGCATACTAACATTATAGTTCTTGGATCTTACTGCAAGGCAAAACTTTAACTCTAGTGGTATCAAGCCTTACTATCATTTCGGATAACTTAGGTACCTAATCTATTGTCTAATATGAAACTCTTGTATATCTAACTCTTTCTGTGATTTATAACCTTAGTTGTTTCATTAATACTAACAATCTTTTTACCTTTCCTTAGTCAGCTCCCCTTCCATTGTTTTGAATAATTATTCTGAGTACTTATTTATTCTTATTAAAGTAGAGTTGATTTACAATGTTGTGTTAATTTCTGCTGTACAGCAAAGTGATTCCTTTATACATATATATACATTTAATTATTCTAAACCCTCTCTTCTCACCTCAAACCTCTCACCCAACCCACTAATTCCTATCCTCTCATATTCTTAGAATAGGCTTCTTCCTTGAAGCAATTGAAGCCATCATGGATCCCTCCCACAATAAGATATTTGAAATACTTTAGTTCTCATATCAAGCAACTCTTCTCCTATGTCAGTGACTTAGGAGACATATATTACAGACCTTCTGGATGATTTGAAGGAAGTCTCTTTGAGTCATCTATAAAATGGGAATCACAATCTTTGAACTGACTACTTAGATCTATTACGATTACCAAATAAAAGAATGTATGTAAAATATTCACATTTTAAGGGATTATTGTAATTTTTATCCATGTTGCTGTTCTATTTTCATTTCTAGTTAGACACTGTTTAAACATCTTCCCCAGTCATCAAGTATACTTTATTATGAAACATTTCAGAATGTTGTTAACTTTTATTGGAACAAAATTCTCTGTGGTCAAGGTCATGATTTCTTAGTTTTGTGATCATAACTTAAGTCCTATGTTTAGTAAATCCTTGGATATTGTGTTCATAAGGGTACATGGTATGTCATTCCTCATTCCCTCCAGATGCATCAAGTAAACAATCTCTTCACTATTATTTCCACAGTTTTAATTTATAGACTGATATTCAACTATTTAACAAACAGCATTAGTATCTCAGGCAGACAGTTCAGTTTACAAACTTCTTTTCATTGAATGTGAATATTTTTGAACATCTATTATCTTCAAGGTGCTGTGCTCTTGAAAGATACACCAGGAGATATATATCCTGCCTTTAATGGTTACAACTAAATAGTCTGATCAACTGACCAAATGGGAAGATGTCATCTATAAGATTCATACAGTTGCTCAAGCTGCCCCTTAGAACCCATTCCAGATTTTTCTATCTTCCTTAGTTGTTACATCCGATCAATTAGCAAGTGTGACAATTTTATGAGCTAAATATTTCTCAGATAGGTACCATTTTCTTTAAGCCCTTTAACATTTGTCTCTCCATAACTTGGCCCCCTGAATATCTCAAAAGCTTTATGCCATATACCTATTACTTTTTATGTTATGTTCAAGTCATGGAGAACATATTGTAGTTCTACACACATATTATGATTTTCTACATATCCATGGCTTTTCTCACATAGTTTTCTCTCACAGAATGCTCATTCCCCTATTTCTTTTCCAGCTAATATTATCTGACTCTCTCTGCGCACCAAATGATGTATTCTAAAATCTACCTGAATGTAGTGCACAAGCCTCAATCATAATGTTTACCATTTGTATAAACTGACCTATTTGTAAATTAATCTCTATTATTAGACTTTGTTACGGGACTATCACAATACTAAGGATAGTATCAGGGTCATCTTGAAATGCCCAGAATAGTAGCATTAATTTAATATAAACTCAAATTTAACATGATCTCAATAAATATTTAACTTATCTTGAAATACTAGCTGTATAAGTAACCAAAAATTAATGTGGTGTTTAATAGTCTGAAAGCAGACTTTTCAACAGCAACACTAGTTGTCAAAAAAAAAAAAAAACCCCAGTAAAATAGCTTACAAATGCTGAGACATTAATTGTCATTCTAAAACTGTATTCTCAGCTAAACCACCATTAAATAATAGGGTGAAATAAATACTCTCAGAAAAAAAATTTAAAAAAAACAGTAGTGTTTACTCTAAGAAATGATTTGTCAGAGAATATGTTTTATAAAGACATTAAAAAAAATACTAATGCTAAAAGGATCTATAAGCAAAGAAGGTGGTATGATTGTGAGTAATTTCAAATAGTATTATCTGTATAAAACACAAACTAATGATAATGACTAACTTAGGGGTGGAAATCACGGTAGAGCTAAAATACCTGACAACAACATGTAAGATGGCAAGGGGTGAGATGTTGATAAGAGTTACACCATTCCAAAGTCTTGTACTATTTGACAGTAGAGATGTTAAGATTATATTTTGTGAAATTTTAATGGTAACTACTATAGGATATATGTAGACTGTTGATCTTCTGCACCAGCAAATATATATATATATAAAGTTATAGAGAAAGCTTAAATGACACAACAGAACGTAGAAGAACAAAAAGAAGCATGAACATGAAGAGGTAACTATAAAACTTACAGTCCAATGCTAGCAAACTCCCAAATGTATCAGTGAAAACTGAACTCAGTAGTTAAAGAGCATAGATTTTTAGATTGGGAAAACTCTGCAAATGGGGGTGTAATTTGGAGCTAATTATCTGAGAATTACCAGATCAATGTGTACCAAGAAGCTCAAATTGTTCTACCTTTTTAACTAAATAATACCATTTCTAGTAAGTTATCCAAAAGAATCAGAAAATCAATCATAGAAATATACACAAATAACGACATATAAAACATTACACGCAAGGCAATATTCTAAAGTCATTAAAATAACATATTAATATACAATAGGATGACAATGTTTATGCTATAATGCTATGCAAAAAATAACAGGTTCCCCAAACCTTTTCTACAGTAAGAACTATAGTTTAAAAAGTTTAATTTTCTTTTCTTTTCTTTTCCTTTCTTTTACTAGTGCATGGAAGAGAGATGAAAATAAGTTGTCAAAATGTTAACAGAAGTTACTTCTTGATGTTGGGCTGTTGGGTGACCAACTTCTTTCCCTCAATATACTGATTTGATGCTTATGACCATGAAAATGTATTATTTTTGTAATCAGAAAAAGTTATTTTCCTTCAGTAGAACTCATAGTGCGTTTCAAAAATACTTTATATGCAGTATAATTTGAGGCTAGCACTGTCGTCAAGAGAATTTACATTTGCACATTTCCTTATAGTTTTACGTGTGTGCGTGCATGTGTGTGTGTTACCTTGTATGAACTTTATAAGAAACTTAGAGTAGGTATCATTATCATCATCCCCTTTTCACAGATAAGGAAAGTGAGGGTCAGAGAAATTATAATATCCTAGCTTATAAAACTTTGCCTGGTGCTTGTTTTACAGATTGTTTTCTCTGTGCCAATTTTTCAAAATATGTACAGACTACTGAAATATTTTCTAAAAGTATGGATCAATTTCTATAACATTACCGAATGGCATGAGCAATGGCTGAATTTAATGAATATGTAAACATATGCACACATATCTGTCTCAGTTGGTACTTTCCCACTACTATAGGAGCATCAGGGCCAAGCAGCTGTCCAGATGTGACTCCTTAAGCTGTAACCACAGACATAAACACCTCTCATAAATGAGGAACATTCTCACGATCTTGACACTGCAATTTCTTAGCAACTTCCCAGTGTCATTAGGAAACATTCCTCAATCTCCCAAAGAAGGTTTTAGGTTTTTATTATTTTTTTTCAATTTGTAAAGAGAAGTAGGGGAAGATAAAACTGGACAGCTGGGGAGACCAAATCTTCATGTTGTGTGGGATGTCTCAGCTACCTACAGTAGCCAGCATGTCTTTGGTCCTGCTTTCCACCCTCTGGCTCATCGTTCAAGCTCAAGGTAAGTACTAATATATTGACAGTTCCAAAGAATTGTTTCATCATTGTCACATCTTTCCAGAATAGGGAGAGAAAACTAAAGAAAAATTCTTTGTTATCAAAGCTGAACTGGAGGAGTAACTTGTTCTTCTCAATGTTTCCCTTCTCAATGGAAATTGTCTTCCACTCACTTTCAAAAAACCAACCGACAAAAACCTTTAAATATTTTGTCAGTATTACCTCTCTTTTTCTAGCAATAGTCATAAAGCAGACTCCTGAACTAGAGCCCTATGAAGTAGTTCATCCTAAAAAACTACACATTTTACACAAAAGAGAGATACAGAACAACCAGACAGAGAAGCATGGCAAAGAGGTAAGCAATGGGATGACCGTGGGATTTTGCTGTCATCTAAAGAGATAGTAAAGGACCTTTTTACTAGTAGAAGTGATGTCACAGTCAACATCTAGTAGTTCAGTCTTGAAGCCCATTTACACGAATGCTCCCCTTTGCCCAGGAGAGGGCATAGGATTTTTCTAAATGCTTTTACCGTTAAGCAGCAGGAAGGGAGTTAACTCCCACACTGGATCAGAAAAAATAAAACAGTTTGGGTGTTTCTCCAACTCTGTGGGGGGAACAAAAAAAAAAAAAGAGGACAGAACGGCAGTATTTCTAGGAGAAGACATTCCTTGCCAAGCCCACCAAACCCATGTCTTCTCCCTACCCTCACCTCCTGACCCCCTGAATTGCCTTTTGTCTATAATAGAGAAATCATATTATCTCATTAACATTTTAAAAATGTATCATAGATATTAACTTTCTGACTATTACATTTGTAATTATTATTCTATACAGCTACCTATATCATTATAATTATTTTAGATAGACTCATAAATATAAATTATCATTATATTATTACATATTTTTAGGAAAGATATGAACATGAACTTCAGTATCAGATGATATTAAATGGAGAAGACGTCATTCTTTGCCTACAAAAAGCCGAGTAAGTTGTATTTCCTGACAGTCTAATCACTGGATTATACCTAAGAGAATGTGGAAAAATAAATCTTCTTTAGACTCTATATACTGTAATTTGACATAGAAGACATGAAGCATATTGAATATTAGATGTTAATAGTTGGTGTTAATATTATCTAAGAAGTTTGATGTTTCCCTAGGAAATTATATGCAAAGAGTAAAACAAAGAGCTGCACGAATGACTTGATTCCCTGCTGCTTTTGGAATTTACTGAAAATATTTTTTACCCAGATAAACTGAAACCTTTGATGTGACTTTCCATTACTTTTTGTTGCTGTTGTTCTGTAAAGCATTTTAATTTTTTTAACATCTTTATTGGACTATAATTGCCTTACAATGGTGTGATAGTTTCAGCTGTATAACAAAGTGAATCAGCTATATGTATACATATATCCCCATATACCCTCCCTCTTGTGCCTGCCTCCCAACCTCCCTATCCCATTCATCTAGGTGGTCAAAAGCACCGAGCTGATCTCCCTGTGCTATGCGGCTGCTTCCCACTAGCTATCTATTTTACATTTGGTAGAGTATATATGTCCATACCACTCTCTCACTTCGTCCCAGCTTACCCTTCCCCCTCCCCATGTCCTCAAGTCCATTCTCTACGTCTGCATCTTTATTCTTGTCCTGCCCCTAGGATCTTCAGAACCATTATTTATTTATTTATTTATTTTTAGATTCCATATATATGTGTTAGCATATGGTATTTGTTCTTCTCTTTCTGACTTACTTCACTCTGTACGACAGACTCTATGTCCATCCACCTCACTACAAATAACTCAATTTCATTTCTTTTCATGGCTGAGTAATATTCCATTGTATATATGTGCCACATCTTCTTTATCCATTCATCTGTTGATGGACACTTAGGTTGCTTCCGTGTCCTGGTTATTACAAATACTGCTGCAATGAGTATTGTGGTACATAACACTTTTGAATTATGATTTTCTAGGGTGTATGCCCAGTAGTGGGATTGTGGGGTTGTATAGTAGTACTACTTTTAGTTTTTTAAGGAACCTCCATACTGTTCTCCATAGTGGCTGTACCAATTTCCATTCCCACCAACAGTGCAAGAGGGTTCCCTTTTCTCCACACCCTCTCCAGCATTTATTGTTTGTAGATTTTTTGATGATGGCCACTCTGACCAGTGTGAGGTGATATCTCATTGTAGTTTTGATTTGCATTTCTCTAATCATTAGTGATGTTGAGCATCCTTTCATATGTTGTTGGAAATCTGTATATCTTCATTGGACAAATATCTATTTAGGTCTTCTGCCCATTTTTGGATTGCATTGTCTGTTTTTTTGATATTGAGTTGCATGAGCTGCTTGTATATTTTGGAGATTAACTCTTTGTCAGTTGCTTCGTTTCTAAATATTTTCTCCCATTCTGAGCGTTGTCTTTTCATCTTGTTTATGGTTTCCCTTGCTGTGCAAAAGCTTTTAAGTTTCATTAGGTCCCATTTGTTTATTTTTGTTTTTATTTCCGTTTCTCTAGGAGGTGGGTCAAAAGGATCTTGCTCTGATTTATGTCACAGAGTGTTCTGCCTATGTTTTCCTCCAAGAGTTTGATGGTGTCTGGCCTTACATTTAGGTCTTTAATCCAATTTGAGTTTATTTTTGTGTGTGGTGTTAGGGAGTGTTCTAATTTCATTCTTTTACATGTAGCTGTCCAGTTTTCCCAGCACCACTTATTGAAGGGGCTGTCTTTTCTCCGTTGTATATTCTTGCCTCCTTTACCAAAGAGAAGGTGACCATATGTGCATGAGTTTACCTCTGGGTTTTCTATCCTGTTACATTGATCTATATTTCTTTTTTGTGCCAGTCCCATACTGTCTTGATTATTGTAGCTTTGTAGTATAGTCTGAAGTTAGGGAGCCTGATTCCTCCAGCTCCATTTTTCTTTCTTAAGATTGCTTTGGCTACTCAGGGACTTTTGTGTTTCAACACTAATTGTGAAATTTTTTGGTCTAGTTCTGTGAAAAATGCCATTGGTAATTTGATAGGGATTGCATTGAATCTGTAGATTGCTTTGGGTAGTAGAGTCATTTTCACAATGTTGATTCTTCCAATCCAAGAACATGGTATATCTCTCCATCTGTTTGTAACATCTTTAATATGTTTTATCAGTGTCTTATAGTTTTCTGCATACAGGTCTCCTTAGATAGTTTTATTCCTAGGTATTTTATTCTTTTTGTTGCAATGGTAAATGGGCATGTTTCCTTAATTTCTCTTTCAGATTTTTCATAACTAGTGTATAGGAAAGCAAGAGATTTCTGTGCATTAATTTTGGATCCTGCAACTTTACCAAATTCATTGATTAGCTCTAGCAGTTTTCTGGTGGCATCTTTACGATTCTCATTGTATAGTATCATGTCATCTGCAAACAGTGACAGTATTACTTCTTTTCCGATTTGGATTCCTTTTATTTCTTTTTCTTCTCTGATTGCTGTGGCTAAAACTTCCAAAACTATGTTGAATAATAGCGGTGGGAGTGGGCAACCTTGTCTTGTTCCTGATCTTAGTGGAAATGGCTTCCGTTTTTCACCATTGAGAATGACATTGGCTGTGGGTTTGTCATATATGGCCTTTACTTGGTTGAGGTAAGTTCCCTCTATGCCTACTTTCTGGAGGGTTCTTACCATAAACAGGTGTTGAATTTTGTCAAAAGCTGTTTCTACATCTATTAAGAAAATCATATGGTTTTTATTCTTCAATTTTTTAATATGCTATATCACATTGATTGATTTGCATATATTGAATCCTTGCATTCCTGGGATAAACCGCACTTGATCATGGTGTATGATCCTTTTAATGTGCTGTTGGATTCTGTTTGCTAGTATTTTGTTGAGGATTTTTGCATCTATGTTCATCAGTGATATTGGCCTCTAGTTTTCTTTTTTTGTGATATCTTTGTCTGGTTTGGGTATCAGGGTGATGGTGGCCTCGTAGAATGAGTTTGGGATTGTTAGTTCCTCTGCAGTTTTTTGGAAGAGTTTGAGAAGGATGGGAGTTAGCTCTTCTCTAAATGTTTGATAGAATTCACCTGTGAAGCCATCTGGTCCTGGGCTTTTGTTTGTTGGAAGAATTTTCATCACAGTTTCAATTTCTATGCTTGTGATTGGTCTGTTTATATTTTCTATTTCTTCCTGGTTCAGTCTCAGAAGGTTGTGCTTTTCTAAGAATTTGTCCATTTCTTCCAGGTTGCCCATTTTACTGGCATACAGTTGCTTATAGTAATCCTTCATGATTCATTGTATTTCTGCAGGATCAGTTGTTACTTCTCCTTTTTCATTTCTAATTCTGTTGATTTGAGTCTTCTCCCTTTTTTTCTTGATGAGTCTGGCTAGTGTTTTATCAATTTTGTTTATCTTCTCAAAGAACCAGCTTCTAATTTTATTGAAGTTTGCTGTTGTTTCCTTCTTTCTTTTTCATTTATTTCTCATCTGATCTTTATGATTTCTTTCCTTCTGCGAACTTTGGGGGGATTTTGTTCTTCTTTCTCTAATTGCTTTAGGTGTAACGTTAGGTTGTTTGAGATTTTTCTTATTTCTTGCAGTAGGATTGTATTGCTATAAATTTCCCTCTTAGAACTGCTTTTGCTGCAGTTGGGTGCAGCAAACTGCAGTTGGGTGGTCGTGTCTTCATTGTCATTTGTTTCTAGGTGTTCTTTGATTTCCTTTTGATTTCTTCAGTGATCTGTTGGATATTTAGTAGTGCATTGCTTAGCCTCCATGTGTTTGTACTTTTTACAGTTTTTTTCCTGTAATTGGTATCTGGTCTCATAGCATGTGGTTGGAAAACATACTTGATACGATTTCAATTTTCTTAAATTTATCAAGGCTTGATTTGTGGCCCAAGATACGATCTATCCTGGAGAATGTGCCATGAGAACTTGAGAAAAATGTGTATTCTGTTGTTTTTGGATGGAATGTTCTATAAATATCAGTTAAGTCCATCTTGCTTAATGTATCATTTAAAGCTTGGTTTCCTTATTTATTTTCATTTTGGATGATCTGTCCATTGGTGAAAGTGGGGTGTTAAAGTCCCCTACTATGATTGTGTTACTGTCGATTTCCTCTTTTCTGGCTGTTAGCATTTGTCTTATGTTGAGGTGCTCCTATGTTGGGTGCAAAAATATGTACAATTGTTATGTCTTCTTTCTTGGATTGATCCCTTGATTGTTATGTAGTGTCCTTCTTTGTCTCTTCTAATAGTCTTTATTTTAAAGTCTATTTTGTCTGATATGAGAATTGCTACTCCAGCTTTCTTTTGATTTCCATTTACATGGAATATCTTTTTCCATCCCTTCACTTTCAGTCAGTATGTGTCCCTAGGTCTGAAGTGGGTCTCCTGCAGACAGCATATATACAAATCTTGTTTTTGTATCGATTCAGCCAGTCGATGTCTTTTGGTTGGAGCATTTAATCAATTTACATTTAAGGTAATTATAGATATGTATATTCCATTTACTATTTTCTTAATTGTTTTGGGTTTGTTTTTGTAGGTCTTTTCATTCTCTTGTGTTTCCTGCCTAGAGAATTCCTTTAGCATTTGTTGTAAAGCTGGTTTGGTGGTGCTGAATTCTCTTAGCTTTTGCTTGCCTGTAAAGATTTTAATTTCTCCATCGAATCTGAATGAGATCCTTTCTGTGGAGAGTAATCTTGGTTATAGGTTTTTCCCTTTCATCACTTCAAATATCTCCTGCCATTCCCTTCTGGCTTGCAGAGTTTCTGTTGAAAGATCAGCTGTTAACCTTATGGGTATTCTCGCTTATGGTATTTGTTGCTTCTCCCTTGCTGCTTTTAACATTTTTTCTTTGTATTTAATTTTTTTTTTTTTTTTTTTGCGGTACACGGGCCTCTCACTGTTGTGGCCTCTCCCGTTGCAGAGCACAGGCTCCAGACACATAGGCTCAGTGGCCATGGCTCATGGGCCCAGCCGCTCCACGGCATGTGGGATCTTCCTGGACCAGGGCACGAACCCGTGTCCCCTGCATCGGCAGGTGAACCCTCAACCACTGCGCCACCAGTGAAGCCCTGTATTTAATTTTTGATAGTTTGATTAATATGTGTCTTGGCATGTTTCTCCTTGCATTTATCCTGTATGAGTCTCTGCACTTCCTGGACTTGATTAACTATTTCCTTTCCCATATTAGGGAAATTTTCAACTATAATCTCTTCAAATATTTTCTCAGTCTCTTTCTTTTTCTCTTTTTCTTCTGGGACCCCTATAATTTGAATGTTGTGTTTAATGCTGTCCCAGAGGTCTCTGAGACTGTCCTCAATTCTTTTCATTCTTTTTTTTTTATTCTGCTCTGTAGCAGTTATTTCCACTATTTTACTTCCAGCTCACTTATTCGTTCTTCTGCTTTAGTTATTCTGCTATTGATTCCCTCTAGAGAATTTTTAATTCCATTTATTCTGTTGTTCATCATTGTTTGTTTGCTCTTTAGTTCTTTTAGGCCCTTGTTAAATGTTTCTTGTATTTCTCCATTCTATTTCCAATATTTTGGATCATCTTTACTATCATTACTCTGAATTCTTTTTCAGGTAGACTGCCTATTTCCTCTTCATTTGTTAGGTCTGGTGGGTTTTTACCTTGCTCCTTCATCTGCTGTGTATTTCTCTGTCTTCTCATTTTGCTTAACTTACTGTGTTTGGGGTCTCCTTTTCACAGTCTTCAGGTTCGTAGTTCCCATTGTTTTTGGTGTCTGCCCCCAGTGGGTAAGGTTGTTTCAGTGGTTTGTGTAGGCTCTTGGTGGAGGAGACTGGTGCCTGTGCTCTCTGGTCTATAAGGCTGGATCTTTTCTTTCTGGTGGGCAGGACCACATCCAGTGTTGTGTTTGGGGGTGTCTGTGAATCTATTATTATTTTAGGCAGCCTCTCTGCTAATGGGTGGTGTTGTGTTCCTGTCTTGCCAGTTGTTTGGCATGGGGTGTCCAGTGCTGGACCTTGTTGGTCATTGAGTGGAGCCGGGTCTTAGTGTTGAGATGGAGATCTCTGGGGGAGCTCTCACCAATTGATATTATGAGGAGCCAGGAGGTCTCTGGTGAACTTGTGTCTCCCCCCTCAGGTCTGAGACCCAGCTGGAGCACCAAGACCCTCTCAGCCACATGGCTCAGAAGAAAAGGGAGAAAAGAAAGAAAGAAAGAAAAGAATAAGTAAAATAAAGTTATTAAAAAAAATAAAAAGATAGTATTAAATTTAAAAATTTTCTAATTAAGAAAGAAAAAGACGAGAGCAACCAAACCAATAAACAAATCCACCAATGATAAGAAGCACTAAAAACTATACTAAGATAAACATAAAAATCAGAAACTAGTCAGTCGCATACAGCAAACCCCAATCTACAGTTGCTCTTAAAGACCACCACCTCAATTTTGGAATGATTAGTTGTGTATTCATGTATTCCACAGATGCAGGGTACATCAAGTTGATTGCGGAGATTTAATACGCTGCCCCTGAGGCTGCACAGAGAAATTTCCCTTTCTCTTCTTTGTTCACACAGCTCCTGGGGTTCAGCTTTGGATTTGTTCCTGCCTCTGCATGTAGGTCGCCCTCTGGCAACAGTTCTTCATCCAGACAGGAGGGGGTTAAAGAGCAGCTGATTTGGGGGCTCTGGATCACTTAGGTCAGGGGGAGGGAGAGGTATGGAATGCAGGGCAAGCTTGCAGTGGTAGAGTCCAGTGTGACCTTGTACCAGCCTGAGGTGAGTCATATGTTCTCTCAGGGAAATTGTCTCTGGATCACGGGACCCTGGCAGTGGCGGGTTGCACAGGCTCCAAGGAGGGGAGGTGTGGATAGTGACCTATGCTTGCACACAGGCTTCTTGGTGGCAGCAGCAGCAGCCTTAGCATCTCATGCCCATCTCGGGGGTCTGCGCTGATAGCTGTGGCTTGCGCCCATCTCTGAAGGTCATTTAGGTGGTGTTCTGAATTTCCTCTCCTCGTGCACCCTGAAACAGTGGTCTCTTGACTCTTAGGCAGCTCCAGACTTTTTCCCGGACAGCTGTGGCACACTAGCCCCCTTCAGGCTGTGTTCACGCAGCCAACCCCAGTCCTCTCCCTTGGGTCTGAACTCTGAAGCTGGAGCCTCAGCTCCCAGCCCTCACCCACCCCAGCGGGTGAGCAGAGAAGCCTCTCAGGCTGGTGAGTGCTGGTCGGTGCCGATCCTCTGTGGGGGAATCTCTCCACTTTGCCCTCTGCACCCTTGTTCCTGCACTCTCCTCTGTGGCTCTGAAGCTTCCCCCCTCTGCCACCCACAGTCTCTGCCTGCAAAGGGACTTCCTAGTATGTGGAAATTTTTCCTCCTTCATAGCTCCCTCCCAGAAGTGCAGGTCCTGTCCCTATTCTTTTGTGTCAGTTTTTTCTTTTGCCCTACCCAGGTACGTGGGGAGTTTCTTGCCTTTTGGGGAGTCTGTGGTCTTCTGCCAGCATTCAGTAGGTGTTCTGTAGGAGTTGTTCCACATGTAGATGTATTTTTGATGTATTTTGGGGGAGGAAGGTGATCTCCCCGTCTTGCTCCTCTGCCATCTTGAAGGTCCTCTCCTCCATTACTTTTATAATAACATATATCTAATGCTCATTCAGGGCACACAAGTTTGAGATAGATCCCAGGGTATGGGGCTCCACCAAGTTCTATAATAGTCAGTAAACTTCTCCCTGAAAGCAATGGTCCTTCATGTATATTTACGACCCAACACCCTACAGAGATCCTTTGGAGGCTATATCCTTGGTTCAAAGAATCCCAAAATAATCCATTTGAAGGTAGAAAAATTCCTATGTGATTTTCCTATCAGAAAAGTATTTCAGGGTATTTCTTTCCTCAGATCTAAGAGGTATAACTAATGCTTTGGTTTGCTTCAGGAGCAGACTTCTGATGTTGGAAAAGGACCAGTGGTCAGAATGCCAGCTCTTTCTCACTGTAGACATTATCATTCCTTTAGTACTGATGATCTTACAGGAATATTAGCCTTTACTACCACCATGAGAGTATCATGCAGCTTTCTGCTCTCTACAGGCATCTCCTGGGGCCAGACTACCTTGAAACATATTACTCACCCAGAGGAGAGAAAATCACAACAAGCCCTCAGAACATGGTAGGTTCCAAATGCTTTCTGGGACTCTTACTTGGATCTGCTGCTTACATCATAAGATTCATAGGTTCAAGGGCAACTTAAAAAAAATTAAAGGACTTGAAAACAGGATGCTCATCTAAGACCAATGAGATAACAGATGAAAAAAATTGTATCTTTTTTAAAAGATAGGAGTAGTAGGAGGCTTCCAAGTGTTGCATTTTTAGAAGCAACCAAAAGTCTGCTTTCCCTTAAACCATCTTATCAATAGGTTAGAAATATTGTCCCCTAGGTACTTGAAAGGTCATGTCGCTGTTTACTGTTTCCTAATGATATATGCATTTATCCTGAGATCAGAAAAGGTATATTATTTAATTAATATAATTTTTTATCTGGTTAAACTACCATCATATGAATAATGCCAAGGTATAGATATCAGACATAGAGAATCAAGGCCAAGAGGAAAACAGGAAGAGAATATAAAAAGACTCATTCATAGAGTATTACCAAGCTAAGCGAGTTTCTCAGAGCCACCCATGGTGCCCCAAATATCTATGTTTCTATAAAAAAACAGACAAGACTTATGCCACAGAATGACTCTCCATTCCCTTCTCAAGTCAAGACTCTCATTTCATGGATGTCTGGATTGTTGCTAACATTGACCTCTGGGGAAAATATCTGATAAATTTATTCATGCTCAAGTGTGAATGGCCAGTGATATCTTAATGTGGTACCTTTTCCAAGTCGTCTATAAGAAAATGTTTATGATGACAAGGTTTCTTACAAAGGAAAGAAAGACACAGATGGATTTTCAGACCCTGAGGCAAGTCAGTTTATTTTGAGCAAGAGTTTATTCATTAGCTTTCCTGGATCATTCTACATAAGTGACCCATTACTTTGCTTCTACGAAGCGCCAACCATGTGTGAATCTCTAGTTGTAGATAAATTCTCTGGGCTTCGGATGCTGGTAAAGGGATGCCACTAACACACTAGTTAAAATAATGAGTTGGACCAGTTAGTCTGAGGGGCTCAGGAGTGGTGATGTGGCCCCCTGAGGACTCTAGAATCTGGAAAAATGAATACCTCATTTTATTGATATGTGATGCACAGTGGAGCTTGCATAAGGGAACTATATTCTCAAAAGTTGACACTCAAACCTGAGAGCTCTTGGGGAGTGCTATAGATCCCATGGGGGAACTGGCTACTTCTCAAATGCAGCATCCACTCTTGCCATGAGTGCATTTAGATTCAAATTCCCCATGGAGTAGTTCATGAAACCGCTGAGGTTCTCAATGTTTTTGTTTCTGGGAGCTGGTCTGTCCACAGCCACTACTTGAAGAACTTTCCTACATATTCAAGATAAGAGCTTTCAACACAACTGTGATATGTTTACTTTTGTAGTTAAAAAAACCAAACACATTTTTTTCAACCTTAGGAACACTGCTACTATAAAGGACACGTCCTAAATGAAAAGGATTCTGTTGCCAGCATTTGTACTTGTGATGGGCTGAGGTGAGTGCCACTTGCAAAAATGTTAAACATCAAGCACCATTTTGTTACACAAGGTTGAGTCTTTCTGAACACCATATCTTCTTACTATCCTGGTAAAATTGTCTCCATTGATAAAATGTTGAATAAATGTGGTTAAAGTGAAGAATAATGTATCATCCTTGCACTCATCATCTGTGGTTCTAGTAACAGTTAAAGTTAACAATTTTTAAACAAGTACTACATTCTGGAGCTTGATGATATCTGGATCCATTTTCATGTTTATCACCCACTCTACCACTCACTCCCCAAAACCACCTGTTTCATTTTCTTAAAGATTCTACCCTGCAATTGTCATGGTTGAACATAATTTTTAGAAGTTTGTGTGTATGGGTATGTGTGTGTGTCTGTCTGTGTGGTATTTCTGTTTACTAAAATAATTCTTGCCAATTAGGGAAAATTTTTAACGTGTGAGAAAGCACAAATACGAAACTATCCACCATAAAATTTTACCTCTGTGTATCGCTATTATTAATATTTTGTCATGGTTGCTGCCTTTTATGCATATAGACAAATATATCTTTTACATGATTGAAATATGAAATAAAATATACATGATTCTTCTGCCAACCTGGGACATACCACATGACATCATAAGCCTTTTCCCAGATCATAAAATACCTTCATAGATGTAATTTTTAACAGCTGTGTTGGCTTTCTAATATTCCATCATATGGATTTACTTTGTATTTCTGAACTAATTTTCCTTCTAAGAAGAGAAAATCTTTAAGTTAATACTAATTATAAACTGTTCCTCTGGCTGATCTGCTCATCATTCTTTCTCTCTTCTGGGGTTCTTGGTATCTAAACATGCCTTTACTGCATTTTCCATTATATGTCTGGGAACTGCCAAGAAATATTTGCTAAATGTGAAAATAAACTATGGTGTAAATTCCAAATTCTTTGGGATAGCTTCATCTTAGTACTTCTTGTTCAGAATTCTCTAGGTAATTAAAATAGGCTCTATTTTAGTACTGACAAATACTGAGTACAATTTAAGTTAGCAAAAGTTAGCTGCAAGGCCTACAAATGAAAACTCTATGTGTGAGTTTGGGATTGAGGGAGAGGTATCCCTCCACACTCTGGTCAGTGGATGTGACTCTGGGAGACAATCTTGAAATATGAGCCTCTGTATCTCGCAGGGGATACTTCACACATCACAATCAGAGATACATGATAAAGCCTTTGAAAAGCACAGACCAAGAAGAACATGCTGTCCTCATATACAACCAGGAGGAGCTAGACCCAGCTAATCACACCTGTGGTGTAAGAAATGTTGGCAGGAAACAGGGCCTTATTCGAACCTCAAGGTCACTCAAAAGGCCAAAGGTGAGTGCAGCTTTCCGACCAACATTCATTTCAGCAATGATGTATGAAATACTGGTGCACCCAGCAGCCCAGCAATGACTCGTATGAGTAAAGCCCAACCCTTCTTTACTTATTTAAATCTCTTTGTAAGCTTTTTAATCTCTTAGGTTGAAGATATTAACAATGTTCTTTCACTCTTTGTAAAGAAAGACTTTCTTCAGGCTAAGAAATACATCGATCTCTTTTTGGTGCTGGATAATGCCTTTGTGAGTATGAAATATAAGTACTTTTTGGCCAGTTAAGTCAACTTTTAAGTTTTCTTATCAAGTGGACACAAGCAATAAACTATTCTAGCTGAAAATACAAAGCCTGTCCACCTGATTGTCTTGTCTGTTCTACCTGCTTTGTCAAAAATAGTTTTCATTCATCCCCCCCTTTAAAATCTTCTGCCAAAATATTCAGATATTGGAAATATACTTAATGCCAGATAGCAACAGTAAAACAACCACAATAACTAGAAACATAAAAGAATGGGTTATTAATATCTTTTTAAAGTTCTCACTATAATACATATAGACATAAAACTATCTGTACTTTACAAATTATGTTCATATGCTCAAAAATACTAGAATCTGTGCTTCTCTCAAATACTGCTTTATAACCAAATTTTAATAATATTAAATTGGTTTAAAAACACTGAAATTAATTTGATTTATTTAACTTAGTTTGAATTGAAATTTTATATGAATGCCAAATTGTTCTCCTGCCAAAAACGTCTTACATTTGAATTAGAATTTGTTGAAATAGATTCTTATATAAGATAGACGTGGAATGAACAGACATTTATTTACATTGAAACGTGTAATTTTTCTTAGAATGTAAAATCCTGTACCCCATCAGCTTTCTCATTTTAATTTGTGGTTTTAATTACTCTTTGCATTTTCTGTTTTACAGTATAACATGTATAATAGGAATGTAACTTTGATAAGAAGCTTTCTGTTTGATGTGATAAACCTACTCAATGTGGTAAGATATTTGTTCTCTAAACATATATTTCCACACAGGAGCTTAGGGCTTCCCTATGTGTTCACCAAATAAGGAGCTGGGAGAGTCACAATGGCTTAAGGCCAGCAGTTTTGGGAAATTTAGCAGATATGATCAACATCAAGGTAAAATCACATATACTGTAGAAAAGGCAACTTCTAGGTTTTCTATTTTCAAAATTCGGATACATTTATGCATCACTTGTGGTCAGTAAAATATCTAAAATACTAAAGAAATCTCTCCTACTATATAGCACAGGAAACTATATTCAATATCCTGGGATAAACCATAATGGAAAAGCATATGAAAAAGAATATATATATACAACTGAGTCACTTTGCTGTACAACAGAAATTAACACATTGTAAATCAACTATACTTCAATCAAAACTTTTAAAAACAGAAATCTCAAACATTTTCATGAAGAAAAATGTTCTTTCCACAGATGTATAATACCATAGATGTTCAAGTGGTCTTGATAGGTATGGAAGTCTGGTCTGATGGTGATAAGATAAACGTGGTACCCAACACAGCTGTCACCTTTGAAAACTTTCTGAATTGGCATCGTTCTAACCTGGGGAAGATGAAGATCCATGACCACGCTCAGCTACTCACGTGAGCACACGCTGGACAGGGCCAGGCCTATTTTGGCAGAGAAGATAGTTATCCCAAATGTTTCTTGGCAGACATTCCTGTTCAATTCTACCTCCCTGATCAGTTGTCAGAGAGCCTAAAGTTCTACTAATAGCAGTTCACCTGTGAGATTATTGGAGACCCATGTCAGAACACTAAAATCGACTCTTGGATGTGGGATAGCCATCTGTGGTCATTATAATGCTATAGAACAGCAGAAGCTTTTCGGGGGCCTCATGAATATGAAAAGGATAGGGGAACTAGGGAAATCTCAAACAGAGTTGAAAAAAGCTGATGGTTCCAAAGATTCAAATTGTGACAATGTGCCTGTAACTTTCACACAGTGGAGTTGGCTTCAAAAATCGAATTACAGCACTGGCAGCCTTGAATTCCTTGTGTTCCCCATCGTCTGTTGCCGTTATTGAGGTTTGTAAAAATATAGCTCCATGAGGTTCTATAACCTCCAGGAAGACAAGCACAATGTCTTATTCAGAGTTAGCACAATGTGCATTTTCTGAGTCAGTAAATAAAAGTAGAAATGAACCTCCTGCTAGATCACTACACTGAAGATTCCTTGGATTATGAAACAGAATATCTCTTTACATTGACTATCCCAGAGGTTTCATTCTTTAGTTTGTGTTAGTGAATGAGAACAGGAAGACAGGACATAAAGGGAATCCAGGTGCCCTCTGGGGCCCAAGGCAACTTCAAATTAATCATCCCTAGTATCTATGGCCAGGAAGGTCAGACAAAGTGCATGCTGGTGTCATATGGCCAAACACTACCAATGTCATAGGCATCACGGCAATAGTTTTTGGAGGTCTTTGAGTATATACTATGTTGTATTTTAGTACTTCTTATAAAGAATGGAATTACCATAATTTAACCATGGTTTATCAAGAATTCATCATTAATTCAGCAAATATTGATTGAGCACTGGCTCAATGGTTAGATTCCCAGGAGGCAATCATTTCAAATGTTTATGCAACAATTTTCAATAACCAATGACAGGGCAAGAAGCTCAATGATTCAATAATTTTCATCTGTCAAACTATTTTTTTGTAACACTGAACATTGGCAAAAATTAACAAATAACTGAATAAAATCAGAAGTAATAGATATTTCTATTCTTTTTCCAGGGTAAGAGAAAGAATAGTGTCTCTCTTGCAGGAGTGATGGCACATGAGTTGGGTCATGCCCTCGGTATGCCTGATGTTCCATATAACACCAAGTGTCTCTCTGGGAGTTGTGTGATGAATGAATATCTGAGGTGAGCCCTTGTCACCCTAGAGAAAAAATATTTCTTAAATCCCAAAGAATTCAGATGCAGCCTATATAGTTGGATGGAAAATTTTTTTTTTTTATGTAGGGCTGTTTCCTGCTAATTCACCCTCCAGCTTCTTTTTTCTTTTCTTTTTCTTTTTTTTTTTTTTGGCCACACCGCACAGCATGTGGGATCTTAGCTCCCCAACAAGGGATCAAACCCGTGCCCCCTGCATTGGAAGTGCAGAGCCTTAACCACTGGACTGCCAGGGAAATCCCCACCCTCCAGCTTCTTGATGTATAGGATTTACCAGCTAGCAGAGTTCATTATTTAAGATCTCCAAATATGCCAAGATAGAGTTTATAAGTATAGTGATCATGTTATTTTAACTTAAAATAATTTTAGCTTAAAATAATATATTTTCTAAAAATATTTATCTAATTAAGATGATGACAACATCCTTATAAATCCCCATCACCAATCAATTCATTTTTATGTTATTAATAGTTGCCTTTTAATTCCAGGCACTTTGCAAGGACCTGGGATAGAAAAATGAAAAAACATACCTTGCTTTTGAAGTGTTCATAAATAGATAAATATGTCCATAGAACCTCTAATTCTGCAATTATTTCCTTTCACTATTCATTGTTATTATCGCCTACCTCTTAGCCCTCGGCGAGATGAGTGAATGATAACAAATGGCGAGGCTCATCACTGCTGCCCTTTAGGACAGAAGTGAATCCACACGGGAATTTAAATTCTTCCAACTCTACAACTGGGTGTCTAGGAAAAGAATTTTTCAACCAGCAGAGTATGCCTGCTCTATGAAGCTCCACATATAACATGGTCCATTTATACTAAATTTGGAATTTTCATTGAACTACGTAATATCGTTAGACAAGTCAGATTCTCATGTTCACTTATCACTGTGTGTCATGATATGTCTCATTTTTCTTCTGGTTACAGTTCAAAATTCCCAAAGGATTTCAGTACAGTCAGTCGCTCACATTTTAAAAAATATATTTTATCTCAAAAACCAAGCTGCTTGCTGAAAACACTGGTTCCTAAAAATATGATGATAAAACCAGTGTGTGGGAACCAACTTCTGGAAGTAGGAGAAGTCTGTGATTGTGGCTCTCCTGAGGTATGAAAATATCCACGGTTTAAAAATTTTACTAAAGAGTTATTGTTGCATAAGAATTATACTGTTTTCTTTTTCTTTTTTTTCCTTTAAAATGTTTTTTTGGAAATTCTTTTTAAAGACAAACTTGACATCTTAGTAAAACGTAGGCTTGCACTTATTTTCAGTACTGCTTTTAGTAATCTTTTGAAAAGCATTTCAAAGCCAGGATACACTTATGACATGATTGTATGAAGTTCAGTGTAAAGAAGTAAATCATTACTATAACATGTCACTTATGATCTTTCCTAAATATATTAGTCAGAAATTCCTAAATCACATAAAGTCACAGCTGATCATTTGTTGAGCAATAACAATTAAAAGTCTAGAAGTAAGTTCTCTCCATAGAAAAAGTGCTGGCCTTCTCTCATCAAACCAGTGTGTAAACGAGGAGAAATTAAAACAGGAGAAAAAAGAAAAATCACACAAACCTGTAGAAAATGGGTTAACGTAGAACGTCTAAGATAATTACTATACTTCTGCTAATCTTCATAAAAATCTGACCCCTTCAAGGCATCAGTGCACTCTAAAGAATGTCTCTGATAGAATGTTTACTAGCAATCCCAGATTGGGTTTCTAAAAGAAAGCATTCTATTTTCTTAGCAATCTTCTTTTACTTTTAAGATTGAGAAAATGAGTTACTATTTGAAGAGAATTTTTATGTGTCAATCTGCAAAATGCTTTTATAATCACAATCTCCTTATTACTCACAACAAATCTACAAAATAGGTTTGTTATTTTCCCAATTTAGAAAAGAAGTGAGACGCAGAAAATTTAAGTAACTAGATCCAAGGATACAAAGCTAGTAATTGGTGAAGCCTACTGCAACCCAAGACTTATCCATTACTTTAAGAGGCTCTATGACAATGGGGAAGGCATGTAATCTCTCTATGCCTGAGTTTATTTATTCAAAAATTTTAAGCTATTGAATTATATTAAAAGTTTACATGGTGCAACAATCATTTGTAAAGAATATTGCAAATATTCTCTTAATTATAATGAGATATGAAATTTTACAAATGACGTGATACCCTACAATAAGTTAGACTTATGTTTATCTCATTCTTACTTCCTTACATTCCCATGTGGTTTCTTGGGTGGAAGATCATTGAAGTTGTTCACAATCCTTACTATTTCTAATTTCAGCAGGTAAATAACGTGTATTCGGTACATACAGACACACCTACAAAAAACAGAGGGAGAGAAGGGAGGAGGAGAGGAGAGAGAGAAACTACTATATATGATGTATAATATCTAATATTCTTTAAGTATATCATCCAACTGCTATACTTTTTCCATATCTTGTTGATTTTCTTCTTCTACAGTTGAATAAAATCAGAGAGAGAGTTCAAGCTTACAAACAACTGAATTTTTAAACAACTGTTTTCTTATCCAAAAAGTAGTGTATATATACTTTATATAGTATCCTTTAGTGAAAAATCCAGTTTTCCATGATCTTATATGCTATTTTATTATTTTTATGTATATATGCAGGTATTTTTCTGGATTTAAAAAATAATCATTCTATCTATCTGTCTAGATATTATCACACAACTGAAATGCTATTTTAATGACTGTAACTATGTAACACACTTTAATATCTTTAATAGAAAATTTCTTCACTGGCTTTTTTTTTTTTGGCAGTGTTTACATAGCAATTATCCAGTGTTCATTCTTCTATAAAACTCCCAGTATTTTTTTTTTGTCAACTTGCCCACAAATACAATTGAGATTCTGGTTGAAACGTGTTAAATTCATAATTCACTCTGAAGGCCACTGGCATTTTCACAATATTAAGTATTGTCTTAAAAGACAAGTTGCCTTTGAAGTTTTTCAGGGAAGTTATATAAAATGTTCTTCATGAAGTTCTTGCACATTTTGAAAGTTTATTTTGAAGTATTTTCAATTTTTTCTTTTTGCTATTAATATGTGTAATGTTTTCTTTTTTATTTAGGTTCTAATTTATTAGTGTTCTTGATGTTATTTTATTGTTATCTTAAACAGCTATCTTAGTGACTCATTCAAAGTTTTTAGAGTTGATCCTCTCTTTTTTTCCTAGGTCAAGAATTGTACCAATATGAATAATGAAAGTGTGATTTTATGTTCCAATTATTATACTTTCATGTATTTTTTCACTCATAGCATTTGTCAGAATTTACATTAAGATATAGCCTATGAGTAACTTTTTTAAATTACTTTTTATTGGAGTATAGTTGCTTTACATAGCTTATAAATAATTCCTGTCTTATAGTTTATATTATTGAATATATTTTTGCTATTCATCAGATAGATTTTATCATAATGATGCATAATTCTGTTCATAGTTTACTAATATATGCTTAAATAAGTAAATAATGGCTACCTAATTTGTACTAATTTTTGCCATCTATCACTATAATATTAGTTGTTTTCTCCCCTTAGCCTTTTAATATGATGGATTATATTACTTTATTCTGTAGAGCTGAGTCACTCTTGCATTTTTGGTGACAAAAAAAACCCTGCATAGTTTGTAATAGAGAGTTGTTATATTAATAAGCTAGTGTTTTACTAATATTTTATTCAAGTTTTTGGATTTATATTCATAAATGAGAATAGTATGTATGTGTATATTCATTACCAAATCTCATTATCGAAATTATGCAGGCTTGGTAAAATGAATTGAGGATTAAGAAAATTTTTTTCTCTATCTTCAAGCTGTTTGAATAGTATAGAAATATTGTCCTTTGAGCTTTTAAATTAACTTACATGTAATACCACGTGGGCAAATTTATTTGGGATAATTCTTGGATAATTCTATTTTTGTCCTTTTAGGAGGTAGTTTTCACTACTCAGCATTTTTTCTATTATTAAATTTCCTTGGTCATTTCCATTAGAATTTGTATAGCAGAGTAATTTAGTTTAGAAAGTGAAATTTCACTGTCATCTTGTACCAGAATTCTGTGCACCTAGTCTACAGTAAAAAAAATACTTGAACCCACTTTCACATTGTGTGTGTGCTTTAAAGGAATGTGCCAATCCTTGCTGTGACGCCATGACCTGTATGTTAAAACCTGAAGCTGACTGTGGAAAAAACAGTAAACCATAACACGTAAGACTTTTTTTTCTTTCTTTGTTTCCAAATATTTTCATACTTCTATGTGATTTAAGAAAGATGTGACACTGAGTTCTACAATACACTAAAACACAATTTATTTTACATTTTTTAAATGACTCAGTTTCAGAAATGAAAAAAGCCATCAATATGAACATAAATAACTCAGAGTTGTGCGTATACTAATATAGTAATGAGAAAAGTGGCTACTTTATCACCTACTAGATCAGGACTGCTGGAATCTGTGCTAAAATTTGTATAAGTTTCTATTAGTTATAAGTTTAATATAAAGTAATATGACAGGAAATTTTATTTAAAAAGGTCTCAATTGAAGAGCAAATTTTGTTCTTAAGTGCTGATCATGGAAACTTGCAGCGTAGTCAGAAAATAACATTTAAGAACACACTACAAGATTTAGCAATTTTATTCCTTTCAAAATGCCTCAATAATTCATAATTCACTTATTATTTTTGTGTTTTACACACTCCTACATAAGTTATACTAGGAAACCTAATTGTTCTGAATATATTCCTTTCAGTGAAAAACAGTCTCCAAATCTAAAAATGGCAACAAGAACAAAAAGTTATAAATAGGGGAAAGGTTCAGGATAAATTATATTAAAGGAGTTATTCTTACAAATCCCCACCCTTTCCTGAATTTCCTGAATTTTTTCTGGGACGGAAACTGCAGAGAGATTATAAAGTGGATAATCGACTCAAAAACCATTGACTATAACTTCCTCAAGGAAAGGATCAGAGGGGTCATAAGATGAGGAACATCATTAATTCTCTCACCAAGCATCATTGCACTCAGCTGAACCCCTGGTGTGATCCACTCTGCAGGGAATGCTAGACATTAGGCCCATTTTCTTCCTCTATCACAGTGACCAGAAGCATAGCGTCACAGCAAACATCCATTCAACTCTTTAGGGGCTTGGGATGATAGGTGGGCATGCCCCATTACTGGGCAAGATTGGCAATTTAGTATCATGGAAAGAAAATTGGACTTGGACTCAGGAAACTTCAATTCTTTTCTTAGTTCTTCCCCAAACTAGGGACTTTAAGCTAAGTTATTTAATTAGTTTTCTCACCTGTAAAATGAAGCTAATGATATTGCCTTTCAGTAGGGTTGTTAGCATTTTTAAAATTCTATAAATATTTATTATTATTACATAATATTTTATAATTTATAATAACCATGGCTTCCAACTTTTTTCTTTTGATCAGAGAATGAATCCAAAAATCCACTTCATTGAGATGCTACTTGCCAGGACAAGAATCAAGAAATCTAAACATGCCAGGAATCTTGCATATTCTCATGGTTGCCCTGAGATATATTTTGCTTTTCACTTGTCATTATGCTTCCTATAGTTTTACCACTCCAGCCAACAGGTCAATAAATGTATTTAGAGAAGCTGCATGTTTTCTAAGCCTGATCTTTAGTGTATTTTTAAGGACCCTGAAGCTGTTGTTTAGCTCTGTTCTTTGGAGAACAAAAGAAATTAGCCTTTGACTAAAACACCTCAAAATGTTCTGCTGAATTATGCAGGCTCAATTCAGAATTGTAAACTGTTAAGTAACATGTGTTTTAACCCCACTTTTTTTTTTTTTTTTTTTTTGCGGTACGCGTGCCTCTCACTGTTGTGGCCTCCCCCATTGCGGAGCACAGGCTCTGGACGCACAGGCTCAGCGGTCATGGCTCACGGGCCCAGCCACTCCGCGGCATGTGGGATCTTCCCGGACCGGGGCACGAACCCGTGTCCCCTGCATCGGCAGGCGGACTCTCAACCACTGTGCCACCAGGGAAGCCCCTTATTAAGCATTTTTAATTTTGTCATGTGTAATCCTTTCACCATCACATTTAATATTAATTTGAAGAAGTCTGCATTGCTTACACTGGAATTTAGCCACCAAGGAATGCCACCAATTCATCTATTGGCTTAATGAACCACAATGTCAATGAATAAAAGCGCAACTTTTTGAGGATTTTCTGTGTGGTCATTTTCAAAAATGAATATTTTCTAGCTTTGCCGTAGGTCTGTGTTAGACGTCAAAGCCTCACATAATTAGACAGTTTTCCCTCTGGTCATTTGACGGCATTGCCACAGAGAGCTGGGCATCGTGATGGAGATGGAAAAGGTCACATCATATTTTAATGCCCGAAATGAAATGACTTGAGGCCAGTCACACAAGACTAGACTTCTTTTTGAAGTTTCTCTAAACCCTTTTTAACAATTAAAATAATTGCCCACATTTCCACTGATGCCTGGGCCGGGAGAACAGGAACTTAAACATACTTCTAAAGATTAGGTTTTGAAACAAGCAACCTTCCAGAAAACGCTGCTTGCTCCTGTCGGCTGTCTTCCCCTTCCTTGCTTCCATATTACTGGTGGGTTTGTAACTACAAGTGTTACAGTGAAGCTGCACATCTGATGTTGCTGGTAGCCCTGCTGCAGCCAGGACTTGTCAATATCCCCAACTGTCCACTGGTCTGATACAAACTCCCACCCTAATGTTCCAAGGAAAAAGGGTTTCTTTAAGTTTATTTCTCCCCTACCTCATGCTCAGATAGAGGCTTCTTATAGTAAAACCGCTTGACCTACAAGGATTATAACCAGTGGCATGCTGGAGACAGCTAGCATTGGTTGTAAAACACAGCCATTACTAAAAAAGCAACCCATAAAAAATGTGTAATTAAATACATTATATTAAAACCTATATTAGAGCTCCCCAGAGAAACACCATACATACTATATTTACATTTATTCACTTTTTATGATAAATAGATATACATCATATACATATGATATCTATTTATCATATACATATGATAAATACATATCTATATCTATATTTATAGATGTCTGTCTATCTATCTACCTACCTACCTATGTAAGAGAGAGAGAAATTGAGTTTTGTTGTGAGGAATTCGCTCACACAATTATGAAGGCTGAGAAGTCCCCAGATCTACCATCTGAAGAACCAGGAGAGCTGGTGCTGTAATTCAGTCCAAGGGCAGGAGAAGTTGGGATGAGGTGTCCCAGCTCGAGCAGGCAGGCAGGAAGAAAAAACAGGACAATTCTTTTTTCTCCACCTTTTGTTCTGTTCAGATCCTCCACAGATTGGATGATGCCCACCAACCTTGAGGAGGAATCTGCTTCACTGAGCCTTACGACACCCCGTGGTGCAGTCACAGAAGCAAAGGACACACTGAAAACTTATCACTTCCTATCATACTACATTTTACTAACCCGTGCTCTTCTTGTTGTCTAGGTCTACCATAATCATGTGATGGAAATCTCATACAGATCTTCCTTGATTTATGATGGGATTATGTCCCAACAAAGCCATCGTTAAGTTGAAAATGCAGTTAATACACCTAACATCGTAGCTTAGCCTCGCCTACCTTAAATGTGCTCAGAACACTTCTATTAGCATACAGTTGGGCAAAATCATCTAATAAAAAGTCTGTTTTACACCAAAGTGTTCAATCTTGCAAGTAGTTTATTGAATACGGTACTGAAAGTGAAAAACAGAATGACTGTCTGGGTACAGAATGGTTATAAGTGTATGGGTTGTTTCCCATCATGATTGCATGGTTGGCCGGGGGCTTTGCTTCCCTGCCACTGCCCAGCATCTTGAGAGAGGATCATACCGCATATCACTAGCCCGGGAAAAGATCAAATTTCAAAATTCGAAGGACAGTTTCTACTGAATGGGTATCGCTTTTGCACCATCATAAAGTCAAAAAATTGTTAAGTTGAACCATCATAAGCACCTGTGTGCTACTCTGTGTAGTGTGTACACCTCTACTCTGTGTTCAGTGACGTCACATTAGTAGCTTTGAAATGGACCCTGGTGGGAGAATTTTATTACAGAAATAGGCAAGTGCTATAAATCACTGATTGTTTTGTGCATTGTCTATATTTCAGAAAGTGATGGAGAAGTTTTTTATAATGCAGATTCAACTTAAAAATGAGTCTTTAGGGCTTCCCTGGTGGTGCAATGGTTCAGGGTCCGCCTGCCGATGCAGGGGACACGGGTTCGTGCCCCAGTCCGGGGGGATCCCGCGTGCCGCAAAGTGGCTGGGCCCGTTGGCCATGGCCTCTGGGCCTGCGCGTCTGGAGCCTGTGCTCCGCGGCGGGAGAAGCCACAGCAGTGAGAGGCCCGGGTACCGCAAAAAGAAAAAAGAAAAAAAGAGTCTTTATAGCAATTACAATGTGAATAGCACAAAAAAATTGAGAGACTATTCTTTCAGTATTGGAAAACTATTATCCACTTAAAGTCACTCACATCTTTGACAAATGAGAGAAATTCCAATATATATTTTTGTTGTTTCATTTCTGTTCATTTGCATAAACAAAGATACAAGTTCTGATATTCATATCAGAACTACCCTCATTCATCATTTGCAGCAGCTAGTTTGGCTACAGACACAATTGTTCAACAGAAATCAAAGAAAGCATCCTGTGAGAATCCAAAGGCTGTATGAAATTTACAATAAAGAATACTGTATGCTTTATTATTATTTAAAAATTATATGACACACATCCTTTATATCAGTAAAATTTATAATAAGCATATGTACTTATGTGCAAACATGCCTTTTTTTCCCCGAGAGCCAGTTGTTAAAAATTTACCAAGGTACCACTGATTAGAGCATTTTATATCTAAAATTTTTAAGTCATACTCATGTGACTTAAAATCACTTTGTCCAGGGTATATCAGTGTTATCAGAATGCCCAGGTCATGGGAATGGATTCTAATAGCCCAGAAATATGATCTCCATCCCTTTTCCACTCTCTTCTCACCTACTAAGTCCATATACATAGTCTAGTCCTTTCCTCTTCCTTTCAGTGTTGTTTTTTTTTTCCCTAAAAGATCCCTAGTGTTTTTCTGAAATTTGCCTTGATTAGGGCTGCTCCAGTCTATTGAACATGGGTTTATATCTATAAACCTCAAAGGCAAGAGTCGGGATTTTGATTTTTTTTTCCACCTTAAAAGATTATTCTCCCTCAGTTATTTAGACAGTATATAAATACATGGACTAGAGTTGAAATAGGGAGGACCCCTTCCAATTCTACTTAATAGCGTCTAAGCTCCAAAAGCTGATGTATATTGAGGGGGAGGGGCAACACCTAACTCCAAGTGGCTTCAGGCTGTAAGTCCCAAGCCCTCGCCTAGCTAAAATGTCCTATTACATAATTTAAAATTTCTAAACAACTCCTCATTTTGTAACCAAAAGTGGGGTCTAGTGCTCGCTGCTCAAAAGCCAATAAAGAGGCAAGGTTGGTGGAAAGGTTTGCTTTATTTTGGATGCCAGCAACCAGGGCGGACACCTGTCCAAAGGCTGACTCCCCGACACTGACAGAGCTTTTATAGGCTGAAGGAGGAGACTACATGCAGAAACAGCACAGTCAGCTCTGACCGTCATCTTGAAATTGGTCATGAGGTAGTCTGACCACTGCCATCTTGATTGTTTTAAGAACAGTTAATCTTCAGTTCTAGGGCTGGTTTGTTCCCATTTCCTTGAGGCCAATTCTTGGAATTGTGGCAGCTTATGTCATGGCTACAGTCTGATCATCATGTAGTTACCTTCTTCCACCTGGTGAGCGTTTCAGTACCTGTAAGACAGCTCACAGGATATGGGTCATAATATTACCTATAGCCCTTGAGTAGGAACTAAGGGTCCTTGACTAATGTTTAATGACTAAACTATTATTATTTGGTCTCCTTTGACCATTTTCCTTTGTTTCTGCATTTTCTCACTTCTCTGATTAAACTTATTCTTTGGCTAAAGTTTTTCCACAGATGAAAGACAGGCAGAGGACTTGGGGGACAAGGACCATAGGGTCCTGCTCCGTTTCTATTTGTCATGAAAACATAGCATCTTCAGAAAAGTGGCTTAGAGATTTGGACAATTTTTAAAGGCTGGGTATAATTGGCATATTACCAAATAACCAATTTAAATAAAAGTTTTCCCACTGAGTTTATCAGGAGTCATCAAACTATTTGGGAAAAAAATTGCTGTGATAAAGACTTAAATACTGTTTTTGGAAACCTTCAGATGATTGGCATGTTGGTAGACCAAACATCTGGATAGTTTGCTTTTGACATTTGGTAATATGCAGACAGTCCAACAGTTAAATGTGATGTGTTTTTAACATCCAGAAATTACTTTTCAAAGGCATAATTTTGTTTCCAACCAAAGCAAAATCAAAACACCACCATACATCTGTTCGACGCTGTAAGTTTTTCAAAGTATTTTTATATCTTTTACTTAGTTTGATTCTTAATGAAATCAATAAGAGATATGTATGAAAAATATTATTATTTTTATTTCATAAGGAAATAATCTGTGGCCAAAGAGGTTGTTTAGTGATTTATCTAGACTTCTATAGGAAAGTTTGACAGAACT